TTTCTCTCTTGTGGAATCTGTTCTAAGCCCATATGTTAATTCCTTGGTTGCTTTTTTTTTTTTTTTTTTTTTTTTTGGGAAGGGATGGAGTTACAATGATTTGCAGAGGCAACAGGCACATTGTTTATTTTCCATCACTTAGGAAACTGCTTTGTTCTTCAGGCAGAGGACAAGGTGAATGAATGGAGCGGGGCATGGAAAAAAGAATCCAATATCGACTGGTTCGGGAATAATTCAGAGGGGTGTGACATTTCATAAAAGACTCTGTTCGCCCTGAGTACAAGGTTGTCAGTCAAGAGTTGCACTGTATAGGAAATCAATCAAGTCCTTGAGCCCACTAGATATTTACCACCCTGTCTGAACTCGGGCTAATTAATGTGATTTTTGGGGGACTCTTAAGAAGCAAGACCTTTAAAATGAAAGCTGTATTGTCCGCACTGAAAGGGTAGCAGGCAATATTTGCCCGTTCAGTTTAGAAGTAATTAAATTTTTACTTAAGGGAATAAAACTTTCGTTGGAAAAAATCGATTTTTCAATAAGCCCTGGCATTGTGAAACGAACATCACTCGGTAAAAAAAGCTTCGAACTTAACAAGTAGGTTTTTCTTTTTTTTTTCAAAAAAGATTACCAAACATCAGAATTTACGGATATTGCTATAAGGTAAACAGACTTATTTATTGATTTTAAACAAAAAAGTCAGAAATTCTTGTTTTTTTGCTCAATAGGATTTCAGATAAAATGTAGGATTTTAGAAAAAATATATTTTATCACCTTTCAAAGCCTTTTAAAATATTTTTTATACATTTAATTCTGTTGAGTGTATTTTTGGAATTTGGGAATGTGCCAATATACAGTTGCTTTGGGGGGTAATATAAAAGCCACAATTCTCCCTGCAGATATTCCACCAAGTACCAATTTTCCTCCTTACAATATGGTAATTGATAGCCATGCAAAACACATTATCTTTCCTGGAATATGGAAAAGCATGTCATAAACCTTTTCTCATAAGGTCACACTCAAAGCACTCTATGATTGAGTATGTGCGTTTATAATGGGAGGTGATCCCTATAATGCCTTTGTAAACGAAACCAAGAATTGTTTTTCCTGTGGCTGCCTGTGGCACAGTACATGCTGATGTGTTAAAATATGAATAGCGCATAACCATCACATTGGAGGAGATTATGAAAGGAAGTAATCTGCAAGGGGTCTTGGGCTGAAAAAATTCATGTCTCTCTAACTTGAGAGAGTTTTTTTTATATTTTAAGATTTTATATGATCATGCTTAGCTTCTGCTAAGCAAATAAATAATAGAAATAAGCATAAGTGCTTACAGAAATGCTAAGTTGCATTTGAAAATCCACATTTCTCTTATGAAGTTGGTACCTACTGGCCTCTCACTGACGTGCTTTATAGAGTAGAAGAGGCGAGACTCAGTCCGTTGATCCACGTACCCTGTAGCTGAGAAGACTGCCTCTTCGCCCGTTTCATTCACGAAAGCTTTGATTCAATTATGGCTGGTACACCTGTTTCCAGGTTATTGAGTCTGTACTTGCTGCATGCTTACTCAGATTATGAAGGGAATATATATATTTTTTAGGGGAGTGGGCAATTTTGTATTGCTTTTGAATTCTGGCTGCGTCATATATCCATTTGCAGTATTTTTTGTTCAATGGTATTTAATTAAATTGACAGTTTCAAGGTGCAGTACGTAGCAGAGATCAACAGAATATATTCAAGAACTGCACACACAGCCAAAACGTTAGGAAAGCATGGTTGAAAACCATCACAAAAATAAGATATATGGAGTATATCCTACTATATTTGGTTATTTATCGCATCTTACCTAATTTGCAATACCATGAAAAGTATGGTTCACGCCATAAGGTGCCTTGGACAATATGAACAGTTTCTGTCTTTGTTCCAGGACTTCAGTCCTGCAGCACGGAGTCTTTACATTTAACAGAATCTCCTTCTGGGTCTTCACTACCAGCTGCTGGGATTTGCAGTGTAGTTTGGGTATTTTCCCTGACTTTCCTCCATAAAAGGCGCTGCAAGTTTCCTGACTGTCTTCCGACTATTGCTGTATATGGTGGTCCGTATTTTCCGGATTTGTAACTGGAAAGCTGTGGGTTCAAATCCCAGATGAGATATGGCTGTTGTAGCCTTGTGCAGGTACTTTTCCCAAACTCTTCCAGCTGTATAAATGGAAATAAATGAAACAGGTTAGAATCCGCAGGTGCTAATTGTAGATATGCACACAGTCGATTGTGGTAGTAATCAGAGTATATTGTACTTAAGGACTTTTTATTGGTAACCTGTTGATGTTTCTTCCTTCACATTTCCATATACCTTAATCTGCCCATGCCTGCGTTTTCCACAAACAGAAAATATTTCACGTACATTGTACTTAATAGCTAAAAGAAATATAACACACACATATTGCCTCTCTGTTTCCATTATTACAGTATTCCATTATTATTTTGTGTATTTGCTATAAACTGTGAGCACCTATGCTTTTCCCTTTCAATAATATGGGATATTATATAGTGGACAGCATGTTTTGAGTAGAGCTTCATATATATATCTTTCAGTTTCTTAATGAGATGAGTTTTCACACATGGCGTGCAATAATCCTACAGTGATTTCTTAAGATGGATTTTTTGTTAAACGTATCCATCATAAAAATGTGAAGTACTTGTTCAGTGTTCCTTATGTTCCCGTTAAATATGGGCTTATCGTAGATTTGTCGGTTCCTTTGGTTGCCCGTGTGTGTTTCAGGGGTTATCATGTACATAATAAGTGCACAAAAAGTAAGAAACCTTTTTTCCACACACTTTCTGACAGAATGATGCTTGGTGAGACAGTCTGGCGGGGAGAAAAACTGGCAATTTCAATATACCTCCAGCGTAATTACAGTTGTCTTCTGAGGAGGAAACTAATGTGGGAAGAGTACAAATGATTCCAGGGCAGCCCACTGTTCCCACATCTCGGCACATATGAACAATTGATCCCTGTAGTCATATATAGCAGTAAACATTAATAACTTAACAGTCCACCGTCAGTGTGGAAGATATCGGGCATTATTGGAGGCTACAGCTGAGCAGGTGGCACTTTAATATGTTTGGTGTCATGATCGACTCCAAAGACTGGAAGACTGCAATTACTTGAGGTGCGAAAGATTTGAGAAGTGATCTCATTTTGCTGTGCAAAGGAAAGGCAACTGATCTAGCTCTCTGTGTCCCTTTTTTCTCTCTGTAGGCTGGAAAATATTAACCCTGAAGAAAATGACATGGTAAGCCGTTCTCTTTGGAGGTTTTGGCGTGTCACTGTTTTTATTATACGGGCTTAAGTAAAATCAAGTGGGGGGCTCTAAAATGGAAAACGAGGGTGGGAGAGATCAGATTGACAAGCTAATTAGATACATCATTCCCACAGTACTGAAAACAACGTTAAGGCCATCGTGTTATTATTTTTTAAAATCATGGATATGAGTCCCTTGGGAATTGCACCAAGCTAGCAACCAACAGCAAGCAAAACAACCCCATGGACATGACAGCCTTCGTGTCAAAGAAATTAACTTCTTAGTAATAAGCCATGTTTACTCATAACATCATTAAAACACTTCAAAGCAAATAATCAGTGCATGCATTATCGCGCAGCAAACATGTTATAAGGGCATTAACGTCTTTCATTTCAAGTTTTTAGTTGTAGTTCAGCGGAGCTCAGGCTTTCAAAGTAAACAGGAGTCACTACTGCAGATAAACAGGAGAAAATCCAGAGCACAGGGCAGCTCTTGTTCATTCTGAAGTGTAGTTAGCTTGAGTTGGAGTTTACAGCTTTCTGGTTCTTAGCAAATGATGCAGCCCTGCCATGAGTTGATATACAGAATACGAGTTGATCCAGTCCCTGGGTGTGGAAGCACAGGAGCATTGTGACCGCGCGCCTGTCCTTCTTCCCTGCAGGACTTGCAGGAGCTCCTGAACCGGGTGAACGGCGCCGCCTGCGCCCTGACGATCGAGAGGAGCGGCGCGGTGATGGCGGACAGGCTGCACAAGGCGCGGGACCGGAGGAGCAGGATCACCGCCGAGGAGATGAGCGCTGTGATCGAGGAGCGGGACGCCGCCCTGGCCCGGGTGAGGCAGGGAGCGGAGATCTGGGGCCCTCGCTCAGAAACACTGCTGGCTCATGTCCTGTTGTCAGTCCATATTCTTTAACTTAAGGTGTCAGGATGAAGCTCACTACTGTTGAGGCTGTAGAAACACAAAGCTCATTCAGTTGCATTCAGTGCTGTGATTATAAGTCTGGATTTGTGCAAGAAAGACCAAGTGTGAATGCACCAAGTTTCATTAGTCCACTTCTATAGACCACTAGGCTCTAAAGATGCCTCTGTTAGACACATTGGCCCCTTTCTGACTGTGGGTCTGGTTTCATATAACTCTTAACCCACCTATCATTGCTTAAGGGGCCTAGTAAACCACTGAAAAAGAAATATTGATACAAGTGATTAGCAGTAGGGAAAATATAAAAATAAAAAAGTATCACCTTTGGTGAAACAATCCATGCATTTCCTTACATCACAGCAGCAAAAACATTAGCTGTGTATTTAGGGCAGACTAGAATGTATATGTGTGTGGGGGTAAATGCAAACATATTGTATGCGTATGTTACATAATACAAAATAAATATACACAGGACAGAATCTCTCTGTAAAACATTCTCCTTAAATCAGTTCTTGAATTTTAAACTTAAGAAATTTGCCTCTGTGTTTAAACCTAAAGTGTTTGCCTGGAATATAGAAGGTATTAAAGCCAGCTGCGTATACTTAGACTTTTTTATTAAAATAAATGTTGGCCTTATGGGACTTACTCCCTTTGATGGCTTTGAATGTTATCAGCTAACAGTGCTATCCAGGACCTGCAGCTTTATATACTGTTAGAGTGCAAATACAGTACCTCTTGGAAAAACATCACAGGTTTCCTAATGATTTCCCTACTCACCTGTAGCAGATGAATCTCTCAGTTCTGATGTTTTCTGTTTGTTTTTTTCCTAATCTTGGGCATGTTTACCCACTCACTTAAACTCTGTGTGCATAGATGACATATCATACAGGGAATATGTTGATCTTAGTCTGCACTTTTAAGTCAGAAAGCAAGTGAAGAGCACACCTATCGCTGCATTCTGAACTGGGACAGAAACCTTTGTGCTTCTTAAAAAAACGGAAACCATTTCCTTTAAATATTGACTCTTTTTCCTTTTTTTAAAGATGCTTTCTATTATCAGTCTATTAAGTGTGGTAAGTCTATATATTTAGTCTTAAATCATTTATTAGATTACTGAGTAAATAGGCAAACTACTTTCTACATGCGTGAAAACAAATATTGCTGAATAAACCTCAAATATTTGATATATCTTTCTTGCATACATATTTTCAATTGAATGAAAACAAACAAGTATGCAGCTAAATATTGACACCCAGAGATTGTACCTCATCGTTAGCCCCCACATTCCTGGGTCTGTATTTGCCTAGATATCTTTGTTGGTAAACAGACCCTATATTACTTTATGACTAGCTTGTGCCTGTTTTACAACCACTGTTATTTGAAGAAAGTAGAGGAGATCCCCTTTAATAGATGTCACTGGACTGATCTATCTGTGTTCCTCCATCCTTCGAAAGCTTACTGTCTGTCTCACCTGTGTTCTTGCGAACCCAGGGATTATTACATTGCCAGGAGCTGAACTCCTGTCCCCTTTGTTATTGTAGATGAAAAGCAGCCCTGACCCTGGGAGTGTGTATGAGGTATTTACATTTGGGAAAGAAGAGAAAAATGAGACAAATCTAGAAATACTAATCTGAAGTGCATAAGAAGTATTTTTAATCTGGGTGGTGTTTAACTGTAGTTTTGTTATGTGAGTGCATTTCAAATTTCTGTACAGTTAGGAGTTGTGCCCCAGAATGTGAAAAAATGAGGAACTGTTTATGTAATCAAGGTATGGACTATTTTAAGGCAGCAGCTGTAGAGTCATTAGCAGTAAGCATAAAGGACAGTGTATTCAGCTTTTTAATGAACTAAGCTTTTTTCAGGCTTCAATACTTTGAAAAATATGCCGAATTCAGCTATAAATACACCACAATTTCTATTATAACAAAAAAGTTGTTATAATTGACACAGTTAGCTCAGTGTCAAATTAGATATTAAGACGTTGCCTTGTTTATATAGACTGTTATAGTAGAATCACTTCACAGGTTTTACTTTTAATTATATTGCAGTGTAAGAGGTGAGGGGGTGCTTCTTGCCCTCTGCAGTCCAGCGTTGTGAGGGGTTTAATTATAAACCCATGTTTTGGAAAATAAACAGAATGACAGTGAAAAGGTAAACAAGCTTTAGCTGATTCGTCGAGATAGGGGGCCACAAACCTAGAAACTGCCTTTATTAAGCACGATATTTCTGCAATTGGATTGACTGTGAGAACTAGGAATATTTATACTGGAGTTTCTTCCTGTTGTTGTCTCTGTTGGTTGTCAGCCTAGATCCTTTCAGATTGCAGGTTTAGCTCAATCAGAGCGAACGGGGATGCATTAGCCGGGGAGAGAATAAAGAGAACACTGTATTCACTATGACTGCTGAACAGACCACTCAAATGCACCTACATGTAGAACGTGCTGTGCAGGGCCATCTTTTCCACAGGAACCAAAAAAAAAAACTCTGTATTTCCATAGAAAGTCATTTCAATCAAAATGCAAATATCAGGAGCCTGATGCAATTCAAGACACCCTCCTTTAACAGTGTATCAGACTTTTATCTTTGCTTTTTTTGTTTAACTCCGCACAATTTTGTCCCCACATAAAATGGTTGAGAGGTTATCGTCTGCTCTCCCTAACTGTCTAGTCAGCAGGTGTCCATGAGGTACAATACCACCGTTCCTACAGATGCAGTTCTGCAGCTCCATGTCTCTGGGCCCGACACTTGCAGTTTCTCAGCAGTCAACGGGCAAACAACTAATTCAAAAAACTGTTTGAATGCTCTTTTCTCTTTGAATTTGTCACACAATGGTTTGTAGATGTCTGGAGCAAACACCCCAGCCATGTTGTTGAAGCAGATACCTTGAATTCTTTCAAGAAACAGCTGGTGGAGATCCTTGAATCAGTTCTGAAACGAGGAATAGCTGAATGGCCTAAAGTAGCCAAATTCCTTAATTTCTTTTGTAACCTGTCTTATATTCATATTTAAGATTACAACTTTGTTATTGTCTTAACCCTATTAGTCAAATTTTAAAAAGTGTTGATGCTTAATATAATATACAAGTTTGAAATACAGTCTGTGTTTCATTAAATCTGTTCTTATCGTCTGAAATAAAGAGCAAGAGCTGGCTGCCACATTATTTCTAAAACTAACTTTTAGAACCCTTCTGTATTACTTTCATGAAGATGGTGATGATGATGACTTTGAACAAGTGTGCCTGTACAACTTGTCAAAGAATTTATAAGTAATTATCTTATCGGGGGGATTCAGAACAAATATGAAATCCACATGATTCATTGTCACTCCTGTTTAGCTGAAAATAAAAAAAAGTAGCAATATGTAACCCAGAAAGAATGTAAACAGACTGCAGAGTTACCACAGTAATTATGGTGATAAATGTTTGAAACACTGACATCTTTCCACAAATGTCACATGCAAATGATTAAAAGAAAAAGAAAGCTGTGTTGCTATTTTGTTAGGATGGGCCTTGGCTATCACTCAACACTAACCTGACATTTAATGCATTTAGTTTCAGCTCCAACAGACACAATTGACTTTGCTCTGTAGCCTTATGTGTCTGTTGCAGTAATGTTGTAAAGAAATTAGGTTTTCTTAGCATTTAATAAGACAACATGAAAATGAAGAACAGCCACATAGTAAATAGTCTTCTCTGTGGAGAGAGAGGTCTCGAGTTACGAGTGGATACTGAGAGCTGGGTCTATGAACAGCTCAGACCGGGGTCACTCACTTCCAGCAGTACGACTGCCCTGGGATTAACCCAGAATTCAGAGTAAAGGTGCATTTTAATAAAGGAGCAAATTTTTAAAGAATCCGTCCATTGGAGCAGTTTCAAAAGTATGGCGCAAGTCTGCACATAATCCTTCAGAGGCTAGAATACGCGAACACTCTATCCTAAAGGATTTCTGAAACCCCCAATCGGTTCATGTATCCTTTTCTTCATCTTGTAGGGATTAACCAAGAGGCAATAGGCAGAGGGTTGCTGTTTTAGCAAAGGCTCGGAGATCTACAGGGTGATGTGAATATAAAAAGGTGGATGAGTGCTGGGAACAGTCTTTATTTCTCTTAATGTACACGACAGTGGAAGCGTTTGGTTACAGCTAGTTTTGTGATTTTATTCCAGGGTGCCATTTTGTAGAAACTGTGCTGCTTTGGTTTATTGATATGGTGAAACTACAGAAATTGTAGTGCCGTAGTTTTTCTTACCTTACTGTCTATTTGAAAAGTTTTTTTTTTTTTTTGCTGACCTGACCCTTTTTGATTCATTGAAAGTTGGGGCTTTCATTAAAATGTTGTAATGTGTATTTTGATTCAACTTCTGTCTGAACTGGACTTCTTCCAACTTATCAAAATTGCGAATCTGCTTTTCTCCCAATTATTTTCTTTGTTAAAAGCTCAGACTAGCTCTTTGTGTGACTTGCCGTGTAAATGGCCTTTATTGCACTGCTGCAGTTTTAAACAGTGTGTCTGTAAATTACTGTGTGTAAATTAAAGCTTCGCTCTGATTTAAATACATTTTCTCAAGTGCTTCCAAACATCTGCTGCCTTAAATCCATAACTCACATTGACACTAAAGAGGGCTTTTGTATTTTGTCTGGAAGAACATAGTGTTATTTTTGTCTGCAGAGGAAGGACTTGAGCGATGTCCTGGTTGGAGGGATGTTTGCCTGGCATTTCAGGACAGGGGTTTGAACGTTGAAAAATTGTTACTGTCAGTAATGGCGATAGTTTACATTCCTGGTAAGTGTCCTTGAGTCTAGGAATGTGAAAATCAAGGCTGTGCCAGTAAGGGCACATATGGATCAGTATAAAGCATTATACTTACAATAACAGCAAATGTATACCACTGTGATCTGAAAAACACCCAACTGTGTGCAGTATAGGTATGTTCCAGTAGCATCTCAGCTTGGGCCTGACTGAACATCCCTGAAATCATGCTAGCCTGGAAAAACACTGTGAAAACATTCTTTCAAGACAGAGCCATAGTGCCAAGCACTGTGCCTCCTTTTATTTCAAATTCTCGCTTGCTGTTTATTGTTTATTGTGGATCAAAGCTGCTATTGGGAGTGCACAGCAGCACAAAATGGAAAGTTAACCTGTCACAGAAATAAACATCCCTAGTTATTGTGTAGACATTATGTACTGCTCACTTTGGGAAAAAAAAGAAGAAAATATTCCGACATATTCTCACATTAGACTTCTGTTATGTTAAAGCTCAGTTATTGAATATGTCTCTAAGGAAATGTATTGAGAAATGGTTTTCTGACCTGGTCTATTCTGTTTCACTGGGCAGCTCGCTTGTATTGTGTTAAATTCCCCCGCCGCATCGCCCTTGGCTCTCGGAGACTTTTATTAAGGCCCTTGCCGAAAAGGCCTCACCAGAGGGAGAAGGTGGCTGGGTAACTACCCAAGCATGCATATATTTGGACAAGTTAAACGCAGAGCTCTTCAGCGGCTTCGGCCGAGGAAAATTTTGTGCTAATATATTCAAAGTGATTCTTTCCCTTTTCCACAGTGCAAACGCTTAGAGCAGGATCTTCATCATCTGAAAGAGCAGAGCCAGACTTCAGCAAACAACATGAGACATCTGACTGCCGAAAACAATCAGGAACGTGCTCTGAAGGTAAATCTCCAACCAAGATCCTGGCAAATTAAGGTTATGAGCCCTTGGTACCTACTCGGCTGTGTGATGCATACATCAGCTGTGTACATTTCAGCACAAGTACACCGGGGTGTTTGCCAACAACTCCTTCTTTAAACACAGATACAGCACCCTTCTGCCAGGGCTTTATTTATTTATTTGAAAAACGGGAAAAGCCATAGCATGCTTCCTTAAATTTTTTCTTTGCTGGTTCTTAAGGCGTTTTTGTTTTGTTTTTATTTTTTCCCCACGTCTGGTTCTGTTTCATGTAACGTCACCTGCAGGTTAACTTGTTGCTTACATCCGCATGGGATGTTTCAGGAATACAGGTCAGCGTCTCGTGATATTTACCTAAATGCGAAGACACTACAGAACTCTGCCCGCTCTGCCCCCGTCAGTGTGTGAGTTGCGGCAATGAAAAGTGTTGACCAACCGTACTGGTGTCCCCGCATTTGACAGGATTTGAAATTAGATCTGCAAGAACAGGCAGTAATGCCAGACAAAACCCTTGAAAGAGGTAGGAGGTAAACAGAAGCCTGTTTGATTTTTAGCATTTATCAGATGAACCCAAGCCCAATCACTTAATGTAGAGCTATAAAACTGATGCCTGATCAACAGTCTGATAGGACAGAGTAAATAGTCCACAGAAAGATGTCAAAGCTGGGAGTTTGGTTAATAAGTTGCATCCTTCTACCGGTTGGATCTTGCACAGAGTAAACTTAGCAATTCTTTTGTGGCAAAACCTTTTTGTAACAAGTAGCAAATAAGACGCTTCAGAAATGTGAAAATGTTCCAAATTTAAAGCTTCATCTCTTGTATATGATGATATGTGAACATATATATATATATGGATATAAACATGAAATGAGTTTGAAAACGTGTATGCTGTGTTTTCTGGATAAGAGTTTAAAAATTATCTGCCATGACTTATATGGAATGTAAGGATATTTTTAAATGATGTTAATTACTTTGAAATAGTGTAATGCCTATATGGGAATTGCTGTATAATCAATCTGTGTGCAATCTACAAATATCTGTTTTTTTCTCTGGGCTTGGACAATAGAAAACTCTCATCGAGCACTTATGGTATTTCACAACACACACCAAACTATATGTAGCAGCTTAGAAACATTGTAGCATGAGCCTGGCAGTCATTCTGTGCATCTGGCTTCACAGCCTTTGCTGAAATATCAGTATTTCAAAAATTATCTGCCAGTCCTTTTTTTGTTTTAGATTGATTGCAAATTGAGAATTACATTACATTATTTATTTATTTAAAACTGCTTTATAGCATAAAACAGCTTATAATGTGCGTCAAAATTAATTTCTGTCCTAGGTTTGTACAGTAAAGGAATTTTATTTTGGCCTTCTTTCACTTGTTGTGAGTTTTACAACCTGCCCAGCCCAGATCTCTGTTTGGTTTGTTTCATGTGCTGGTTTGAAGTAATCCTTTCCTGCAGGGCCTTTTGTAATGGTTTGCACTAACTGCAACACCTCATTAAATGGACTACATATCCATCTCCCCGTCTGTCCTTTGTGAATCACTGGGGAAAGAAAGACATTTTTTTCCTGTTTTTCCCTGTAGTGGGATCTGTCTTAACTGCTATGCAACAAGAACAAGCACATTGTAAAAACGGGCATTTTTTTTGGTCTGATTTGACTTTCTCTGCCAAGCAGATGTCTGAATGCCCTTTTATACAAAGGCCTTCATGGATCTGTCCCAGGAAGTTTATTAAACCCCTGTTTTTTAATAACATTGCATGGTGTTCAAATATGTTTCAAAACGCCAGTGGAGGACGTCAGTAGCATCCCAATGCCAAGGCATGCTTCTCTATATAATCTTGTAGGACTTGTGTTCTAGCACGCACATGTATGCATGTCTGCATTTGTATTTATACAAGCCTGTATGTTAGTAACAACCTTAAATTCCCTCCAACAAACATTTGCTGGTGGATTTGAAGATAATGCTTTGGCTGACAAGGAGAAATGAACAGTAGCACACAACATTCAAACTCACCTCTGCAGAACAGCCATCTAGGTAACACAATTAAATGCCAATCAGTAGGCATACAAATATTAAAGTTTTAATTTAGTAATCAGCCGAGAGCAAAAGTAACAATTAGCCAGCACGTGACTTGGAATATCCCAATGTTAATTAGATCTTATTCTGATTGATCATAAATTCTTAATGTTAAAAATCATGGTTCACTGGCAGAGAAAAAAAGTCCAGTCAGATTGTGAGGTTTAGGGAGGCTAGTAATATTTGTGCACTTCTTTATTTCTTAGCAAGTCCTTTTGATGGCTTATTAAGAATGATATTAAATTTTGTTATTAATGTAGCACTTGGTTTCCCTTTAAATCCCCTTAATTATAGATTGACTCTTGGGATTACAGAGCTACGTTTTTTAATTTAAAATGAAATGGGAACAGCTGTTGTAAAATTAGTCTACAGTACTGAGTACAGATCCACAAAACAATCTGAAGATGAATAAGGTATCACACTGAAAGAAACCGAAGATACCCGCTATTAGCTTTGATTAGCATTCTTTCCTTGTAAGGGGTTAAAATCTTTAACTGAGTGGCTAGAATTAACTAAATTTAAGGATTATTATTTTCTTTATTATGACTTCCAAGGCCACACTTATAAAAATGCTGCTTTTATGTATTTTTTTCACTTTGTTAAAATCGCTTTTGGGTCTCAGAGTTTTATAACGATTTCCTCTCCCTGTCTGTTTCTGAGTCATCATTTGGGTTTAGTGGAAACCCAGTGTTAGAGTGGACGTCTCACCCACAGTATACCACCCAGGCATTGATTGTCATAGAGCTGAACTGCACATTGCACTTTTGTAGTGTTTCACAATCAAGGCTTCACATTTCAGATGAGGGTAATATTGTATGTCATTTGACTGCCAGAGAAATACAGAGTGCTTTATTAAAGAACCTCAGTCCTTTTCCTTTTTCATGAATTCACCCAACACCTAATCGCTTACTTTCAAGCTGTTTTCTTTATTGGTCACTGTAGACTGCATGTTTCACAACATTGTCCTTTCATGTCATGCAAAGCAACAAAAATCATTTAAAATCAAATTTTGTGCTGTGAAATAAAAAAAAAAACTTTGGAAATAATATTTTATCAAAGGAAATTCCATTAGAGCTGCATTGGAGAAGACAAGTAAGGCCCATTTTTGAAGTGATAGTCATGAGATTGAGAACTTCTGTTTTACTTCCATTGCAAGTTATTGATCTCAGAATAGAGTGAAATCATTATTGAAAAGGTGTTTAGTAAAAAGAACCCAACATCTGTGCAGCTTGGTGAATGTGTGCTACATTTTGAACACTGCAAGAGTACGTCATCAACGTGGCAATTTCCTAAATTGGAGCTGCAGCTCTGCTCTGCTTCCACTCTAAAGAAGTGCATTTTGGAGGGTCTTTGTGAAAATTGTTTTAGGAGTAAATTGATTTTTATGACTAATTCATTCCGTAATTATTAATAGCTATTCGATAGTTCAATGCATTTTTATTAAAATATGGAACCCAAGATGTAGGGATACACTAAATTGACACATGCCAGTCTGACCTTGGATATCAGTGCTTTTTATTTTTGCACTAATTATGATACTGCAAGGTCTGGAGTTGGGAAAAGCAGTTGGCATTCACTCCTGAAATACCCAGCCTCCCTCAAGACATGTTTACCATTGATCTCGCCGGATTCTCTGAGAACTGCTTGGAATTATTTCTAAAGGGAACTTTGCAAACAGCTCGTCTTCCGTCCCGGAATGTTGGCCACTGTGCGATTCTGAGCCTGCAGGTGTGTTTTGAATGCGAACAGAGGGGAGAGGACGTTGAATCCCCATGGCCGAGGTTATTCGGAGTTGTGTGTGTTTGTGGCTTCATCCCTGAACCGCTTGTATTTACTCTCCAGCTTTTGCTCTGTCTGACTGGACGTGGCCATTCCCTGCCTTTGCCTTGCAGGAAAAACAGAGAAGAAAGCAAGCTACGGTGTTTTTAATTGAGTTAATCATTGATTCTTTTTTTTTTCTTCTTTTGCACAACCTTTAAGGCTTTGACATCACCCTGCTCTGTACTGTTTTGATCTTGATTTTGATCAAGCTGTTCCTAACTAGTTGGCACCTGTTGATGGTAGAAGTCCTGGCAGAGATCGCATGATTTTTAACTGTTCTCCTTTTTCCCATTCCTGAGTAGAACGGAGCACTTTAGGTTAGGAGCAGCCTAATACACTCTGCTACAGCTAAGTAGTATATAGTCAGAGATAGGACAGATGTGTGTGGGGGGAGTGTTTATCTTCCTCTCGATACTGTTTCATTGTCAGCAGTGCTGAATTATTAATACTTCTTTGTGAATCTGATTTAGGTCTTTTGATTTCTACATTTTAGTAAAGCTAGCGGTGAAATTCCTAATGTCTTGCATTAGAAAGGTGAGCTCTAGCTTCTCAGTTCCTTGCTCTTTGCCCACCTGTTGGAAATTTGGTAAGACTTATGTCAGCGAAGCGCAGACATTGGTAACAGTCTGTAAATCAATATAACGGTCTCTGGGAGTTTAGCGTGATACTTGACGTGTAGAAAAAAGTATTTTGTCACTTGGAGTCTGTTCTGCTGAGATTATAGTTCTGAATTAAGAATGGAATGGAATCTATCCTGTTCAATTTAAATGTGTTTGACTCTTTTTCTACTTTAACAACCTTCCTGATCTGAGAGAATAAAATGAACAGAACGTTTTGATGGAATTCCTATAAAACCTTCAATTGTACTGTGATTAGAGGTCTTAAAATATTGTGATTTGAGATGTATATCTCTGCTATGATTTAACCTAGTTGTGGGGGTCCCTAGCTCTCAGTGAGATCTGAGTATGTCTGTTGATTATTTAAAATCCTTTGTCTATTGCCCTGGTGTAGATGTCTCAATATCTCTCAAGAATATGTTATAGGGTCCGCTGCACAAGAGTATTTAGGCACTTAAATCGGG